TTAGGATAATTGTTGGATTCTATCTATTTATAATTATTTAGGTCTGTTAAGGGAAAAAGCTTCGGCAAAATTTGAATGGGGAATTTCTTTTTTCTGATTTTGTTTTTGTTCCTTTATCAATTATTTTCTGCTATTTCATTCTGCTGTCAGCTTCTCTGTCACTTCTGCTTTTCAGCACCAACGTGTAGACTTTGGGAAATCCAGTCTACTTAATCTTTTGTCAACTGAGGGAAGTTTCCTGAGTTAGAGGTCATATTTCCTGTTAAGTTCCTGTGAGTACAAGTTGTATTTTTATTGTGAATAAATAAAAAAAAACACGTTTAGCTGCTGTGATTCGACAGGAATGCATCCAAATGTGTCGGTGTATTACATGTTCCGACATTTACCTGGATTTCGCACTTAGCCTCCACCATCTGGAGTTTGGTCTGTGCCAACTCCTGCTCCAGCTCCCTGATCTGAGCCCTGAGGGACTCCCTCTCCTGCTCCTGCCTCCTCTGCTCCGCCTTGTTAGGAGCTGCACTGTCCTCATCCCAAGCTCTGGTCATCACGAGGCCTTCTGTCTGAGCTGCTGCTGGAGACGATGGTTCATCAGTGTCTACAATGTGCTGACAGCGAGAACAAGCCTTCACTGCACTCTGCAAACACGGAGGATGAGAGAGGATAATATCAGATACAATGGAGATGAAAACCACTGACACCTGCTGTAATAAACCATCTTTAATGAGAAAGTTAGGCGGCCGAGTCGTGTTAACAATTTATTGAAAGCGTTGAAAATTGCTTCCTTCAACATTTTGTTCTAAATGTGGCTTGAAAGAGATAAAAAAAGAAGAGATGAAAGTTTCGTATCCTCACCTTGAGTGAATCCAGCTCTTCTCTGTGGGCGGTCTCCTGCCTCTCCAGACGGTTTGTCAGCTGGGAGCAGATCTGAGAGGAAGAGCGTTTGATTTTAACATCATTAGGCAAAAACACCACTGAATTCTTTCTTATTAAATTGTATTATTTAAAGCGTGCATCCTGATTCTTAACCCTGACGAGTATCTGCACCTGTTTGTAGTCTGCGATGATGCCCGATGACCTCTTGACCTCCTGCTCAGCCTTCTCAAGCTCTCTTCGAAACAAGTCCTTCAGCTGTAAGAGGAAGAAATAATTTTTATCCCAAAGTTATACTATTATAATGACCGTGGGGAGCAGTGGAACCAGTCTTAGTTTTTACCATCGCAGCTTCCTCTTCCTTCCCAATCTTCTCCTCCTCTGTGGACTGCAGTCGATGTCTGGTCCGCAGGAGGTCTTTGGTGAGTTCGTCCTCTCTGTCCTCTGCCTGTCAACAGCCCACAAACACCTACATGCATTATTCAAATTTTAAAAATGTGATAAAAAAAAAAAAAGGCTAAATATTCCTTATCACAAAAAAAACTCCACACACATGAGGTGATGTTTCTAAAAAGTGGAGCATTCTTTAATCCTTTCAGCATTTAATATAAATGTATATGTTAAATATTAGATTTAATATTTGGCAATGCTAAATGTGCTGAACAGGATTAAAACACAATTAATAACAGCATCATTTTAGGGATTTGTTGAACCATTTCCTTTCAAAAAGACATGTCTTTAATCAGAAATGCATGCTGTATGATTCTCTAGAAACTGTGAGTTTGTTTTAAAGCAAACAAGAGTTTTGGTGTTTTTCTATTTTTCTATGAAGGGCTGGAGCTAATCGCACCTTGTCCAGGGCTTTCCTCAGGGCGACCTTGCTGCTGATGAGTCGCTGGGCCAGGTTGTCGTTTTCCTGCTCCAGACGGAGGCTGTTCTGCTGGAGACGACGGTTTTCCTTCTGAAAAACACTGAACTATCAGGGTTTGTGGCTCACAGCTGGATTCAAAGTATTGCATTCAGAAAGATGGAGGGTGGAAGAGGGGAATATACATTGAATTTCTGCTGATACAGGAAGTGATTGCATGTGAGGGCTGAGCCTCAAAGACATTGGATTTTTAATTCAAGTCAAAAGTCAAAGATATCTGACCAGGTATTCGTCCAAAGGATCTTCTGCAGTCTCCATCATCTGAAGCCGGCTTTCCCTCAGCTTAGCTTTCTTTGTCGGAACCTGAGGGGAGAAGGAATCACATCACACTGAATACACTAATAGAGAAAACACTGTCATGTTTGACTGGAATGAAGAGAGATATCTCCTCCACACAGATCTGGTGCTGGATGCAGAAAAGAGATCCGAATAAGGATAAGACTGAGATAAGATGGGGGGAATGAGCACATGGGGGAATGATAAATGTGGAGGGGAGGGTGATTTTAAAGCCTGAAATTACAATTTCCATATTTTAAATATCTAATATCTCAATTACAAATCATTACATAAAACACATACACATTGGAATCAGTTTAACTCATGATTTTTCAGATAATTCACCTCTTGCTGTACAAAAATGCTGCAAATCCAAGTAGTGTATCTTCATGTTTTTAGATGCATGGCACTGATTTTAAAGTGAAAGTTCAACTTAATCCAAGAGTTTTTTTAGAATGACCAGTAACTTTTTAATACATTTACATGTATTAGAATCATGCCATGGCTTTGGTCAGTGTTGTTCTATTGGTTCAGTCTCCGAGATCAGTTGAGGCGCTCTGAAAGCAAAGTGGAATCTTATTTAACTGAATAAATCCATACAACAGTGAGTCTTACTGTGAATTTAGGTCCTGTTTCCTCCACCAGATACGCCAGGATCTCCTCCTCGCTCATCTGTTCCATAACTTGGGCATCGTACGCCATCATCGTGGACACCTCCTCCATCATCCTGCCCAAATACGCAGCCCCGCGAGCTGCTCACGGAAACAAACAATCACGGCCTCTGCAGGTAAAAGCTTCCAACTCCAGAAATCACAGCTGATCCACCAGATGTGAGGCGAGTTCAGGAAGGTGAAGTCGTATTGTTTTGACTCACAGTGACGCAGGCAGGCGGCCAATTCAGCACAAGAGTGCAAACAGGACTAAAGGCGCACGGTCAGGTTAAAGTCCACGTCGTCTCAACAAGAGGAAACTCAGCTTTACAGTCCAAAGGTGGAGGACAGAGAGAGAGATACTTCCCAACAGGTAAAGAGAAGCAGTGCAAAAGCAGAGCCACTTAGACACAGTGTCATCTGAGGAGTGTGTGTGTTACAGGTGCACAGGCAGTAACAGGTTCAGCAAGGTTTATATGAGACCTGAGTGTGTGAAAGAGCGACAGCCTCAGATACACCCACTGCAGGGCTCACCTTTCAAAACACACACACACACACACACACACACACACACACACACACACACACACACACACACACACAATTAGCAATGCATTGCATTTTTTGGACATACATCTCAACTTTCATCCATGTCCCTCTTCTTCTTCACTCTGGCACAGATGCAGTATGAACCCACTGAAAATGACGGAAGTGACGTAAAACATGTGGTATTTGTAATATTTCACCCTGAGGTGCTGGTGTGGCGCATTATTGTTATGGTCTGAGCAGCCGGGCAGGAGAGCAAACGGGTCGGGCAGGTGAAGAATGAATTTGCAGAATAACAAAAGATGAGTCAGCACCTCCGCCCCCTTTATTCACATTTTCACTTGCAGTTTCTCCCGACTTCTCCCTTTGTCCTGACGTCTCTCACTTAATTTATTGTGATTTTCGTGATTTTCTTTTATGTTAGATGACAAATACATTGCACATAAATTTCCCCCTGTAGGCTTCACTTTCCTTTCTCTCAGCAGTGTATGTCTCCCTCTCACTTCCGCCTTTGATTTTACTCAACTTTTCAAGTCCCTGTAGTTTTGCAACACTTCTGTTATATTTTTTTTTGTCATTGTGGGTGACTACAAAAAAAAAGTCCAGACAGATGTAGAAACATTTATTCCTCCTCAAAAAAAGGAACAATTTGTGAAACGTGGTGGATTTTTTGTGTGTATCAGGGTATAACAAAACTTATTCTGTTTTCACATGTAAAAATCTGAAAAATACTATTGTTTTAACAATTGGAAGAGAACAAGAAACCTGAAAATATAAAGGTTCTGATATTGTTGTGGTCATTGTGGTGCAACAACAACACAGAGCCGCTGGCTGCTATGACTAAACCTTTCACCTAACTATGGGAACCATATGTGTTGCGTGAATATATCTAAGTGGTAAACACGAATGCTAAATCAACATAAAGTCATTTTACATACATACTGTAATTTAGCACGTACTTATGCACCACAATGGGAGGTGAGGAAAAAGATTGTGACTCTCACAGCTCAGTGGGAACATTGTGAGAATACAGTGAATGTTTAATTATTTGTTCTTTTTACTGATGTTTCTACTGTCACTGTCCCTTTAACATGGGATTAATAAAGGAATAACATAAGTTATCTTATCTCACTGAAGTAGTATTGTATTGATCTGCCTTCCATTGAAAGGGGGTTTGGATGTCACTTAGCTCATGTTCACTCAAAAACATCCCATTCTCCACAGTAGCCTCAGTTGAAACAATTGCAATGTCTATAAATGATGACCAGCCATGAACAGCAGTAACATCTTCACTCTCTTACCTTTGTTGCAGAGGATTGAGGTTAAGATAACAGTCATGCAACAAGATAAGGAACAGCTATCTGAACTCATGTTATTGTTGGCTCTCATCCTAATCAATTGTGATGCAGTTAGCAGCTATATCTAGACTAATGTGTCTTATGAAAATGATGCAATGTCATTGTAAAGACTAATGTTTGTGTTGATAGTCACAGATTTATTCTTTATCCACTGCAGGATGGGAAGAAGTCAGTGGTGAAGCAACTCCAGCTACTGTATGAAGGAGGACTTGTACTTTCTCAATTCTGTTTATTTTAATAATCTGCTCATTTACTTAATGGAACTAAATCTGGATTTAGTTGTTCAACATGTACATGTGAAATATCATAGATATCAAAGGCAATTAACATAAAAATTGTACATTGCAACACATGAGGAGATAATTGTCTACATATGTTTAAACAGGGGCGGCACTCTACCTTAAGCAGAAGTCATGCAAAGTAACTAAAGTAAGTTACTTGAATGAGTTGAGTAATTTTAGTTTAAATCATACCCAAGATACTTTCAAGGTACTACTTTATTTTCATTTGATCTGCTACTTTGTATGACACAACACATTTTAATCCACTACATTTATCTGACAGTGACAGTTGCAGAGATGTTTAAACCACCACAACACAACCTCTTTGACTTGTGTCCATTTACAAGAAAGCAGAGCCTATTTAGTGTCCCTTGTCATTCTTTTAGAATCATACAACACAAAGCACATGAATGCTGTGTTGTTTTATCAAATAGTTCTATGGATATTTAATTTTAGAGCCAGAATCTTCACAGTAGCGATCAGAGGATAGTGAGGTCAATATATGTGCTTGACCAGTCATGAATCAGTCTCAGCTGTCAATCGTGACATTTCACCCAGTTTTTATGGCATCACAAACTTAATTAAAACCAAACTCCCAGAAAAAATGGCCCCTTCACTCACATGGAGGAGGCAGGATTTATGACCTTTGCTCCAGCCAGCCAGCAGGGGGAGGGCCATCAAGATTCATGACTTCACTTTTGCAGCACTGTCCTGTTGTCTATTATTGTATAGNTGGATAATTGGACAAAGTAAACTTTCCTTTCCATATGTAAACGTTCCATTCTCTCACTCTTCTGTAAATTCAACAAGTGAGGAAGCTGGAGAAACTCACATTTGGTACAAACTTACTTAAACACATCTAAAAACCTGACACCCTTCACAAAAACTACAATACTCCTTGAAAATATACAGATTCAGGTATATACTGTGGAATAACACTGCATTTTGTTACTGTATAGCAGATATAATGGCTTATAGATAAAAAAACAAACTTCGGTCAGGATCAACTAAATATGGTAGATGAAGCTATTATATTGACTGAAATCTTCTTTTCATCCACCTCAATCTGTAAACATGAACATATTAATCCTATGGAAGACACAAGTCTAGCTTCATTCAACCTGAAGTGAAAGCAGAAGCAAAATAAATTCTCACTGTAGTAAAGGACTTTTTTTTTTCTTGCAGACTGAAACAAGACTCTTCCAGATAATTGCATGATGCACAGAAACGCTTCACCTTGGAAGTTTCTCCTGAAGTCTGCCAACAACAGAAACTACCGATGGAGCCCAATTGTCTCTGTCCAAACGAGCGCGCCTCGTAGAAAAACTGTTAGCCCTCATGTATACGAAGCAGCAGAGGAGTAGGGGGGGGGGGGGCTTTCAGTTAACGCTGGCACAGGGGAGGGGGCGACGGGAGGGGAAACTAAAGGATCGGTGGTGGTCCATGTTTTAGACTCTGCATTTTGTTGCTAATACCCATATGTCTCCTTGTGAGCAAGAACCCCTTTTAGCTAACTTGTGAATTGTGATACTGGGTTATCTGACAGAAGTCTGACCTGACTTGTTCATTAGTAGAAAACAATGATTGATGCTGAGCAGAAAGAAAGCATATCTTTTTTTCAGATAGAAATCCAACTCCGACAAGGGGATTCGGTTTTTTCTCACCTGTCTGCTTGTTTGTTGATCCTTTGTTTGGAAGCAAGATTTCACAAAACAGGCAAACGGATTTCCGCAAAACTTGTTGGAAGGACGGGATGAGCCTCAAGTAAGAACTGATTCACTTTTTGTGTGGAACTTTTTTCTTTACCATGGAAAGATAAATCGATGTTTCATCATTTTCACAGATTTCCCAGGGAGTGTTAAAACACTTTTTTTCACTTTCATTTTTTCTTTGTGAGGAAATTCCTACTTTTTTTTGTGACACCCAGAAGATTTCCTAAGAAATTATTTTTGAAAAAAACCAATAACATAAAGTGTAACCAAAAAGATTATGGTGAAATTTAAAGGTTCAGTGTGTAAAATTTAGGTGAAAGGGATTTATTGGCAGAAACTGAAAATAAAATAATCCTAGTATTGTTTTCACTTGTGTGTTTCATCTAAACTGTACAAAATGTTGTTTTCTTCACCCTTTATATTTAAATACTTTATATTAACATCAGGAGCGGGCTCTCTCTACGGAGGCCACCATGTTTTTTTTACAGTCGTCCAAACAAACTAAACACCTTTTGAGTTTTGGTGACAGCTGAAGGTTTCCACAGATGCTCTGTCATGTTTGGAAGAGGAGGGTGAGGTGAGGGGAATTCAGCTGCAACATGACACTTCACCACTAGATGTCACTAAATTCAACCCACTGAACATTTAAGTTTTTTTGTTTGATTTAATTTGTAATTCATGAATTCATATAACTAGTAAAAACAGTGCTGTGTTTAAAATAAACTTAGATCGCAACAAAAATACACAATTGTCAAAAAACAGGAACAAAGACTTGTGTGTGGGGCCCTTTCGTGTTCACACTGTAAAGAACATGCATGGTCACACGTGTCCCTGACCACCTTCACATGTGGCCCGAATGACGGCACCAGTGCAGGGGCGTCCACACCTGAATGTCAGCATGAATGTCGGCAACAACGTGTTTTAGTCCCACGTGAAACAAAGTGAGGCTCATCAACCACATCCCTGCTGATGTAACAGCACTTCACGCTGCTCTCTGCTGCTGCGTGGATCTGTTGCCCACGCAGAGGCTCTGTTCAGTCTATGGGTCACCTCCTAGGATGAATCTGAGGCTGAAGTGAGCGTGTGCGGTAATGTGGGTGTGTGAGTAATTGTGCTGTCCATCACCTGAATTTAGTCCTGAACAAAAGGGCATGTGCTGGATGTGAGGTGTATGTAGGTAAATGTTTGCGTGGTGGTGCAGCAGAGGTCAGACCTGGGTGCTGTAGGGGCGAGGCGGTGGAGGGAACATGTCCGTGGGGCCGTAGTAACTCAGAGGAGAGGAGCCCTGTGGGTTGGCGGACAGAGGGAGAGAGACAGATGGGTTCTCGTAGTAAGTGTGGAAGCCCAGCCGCTCCCCTCCGTTACGCATTCCGTCTGCGAGTCCAGAGTGGATGGGGCGCGGCGAACAGGTGGGGCAGGGGCTGTGGTGGGAACCCGTGTCCAGTTGATCCAGGGAGACGGGGGTGATAGCGGCGCCGTCCATGGCGAGGGCGTTGCAGGCGTTGCAGGGGAAGTGAGAGAGGGGGT